TAGAGTCTTGTGCATTCTGTCCTAGAGTCTTGTGCATTCATGAGAAGTAACAGTATGCCTGCCACTGAACCCCCACCCCCTGCTTAGCTGCCTTCAACTAGTGAGCTCACAGCTGAATCTCTCTCTATCTCTCTCTATCTGTCTCCCAATCTGTCTCTCTTTCTCTCTCTCTGTGTCTCTGTGTGTGTGTGTGTTTCTCTCTCCCTTATCTCTCTCCATCTGTCTCTCTATCTGTCTCTCTCTCTCTGTGTCTTTCTCTCTCTCGCTCCCTATCTCTCTCTATCTCTCTCCATCTGTCTCTCTCTCTCTCTCTCTCGCTCTCTCTATGTCTCTCTATCTCTCTCTCACTCTCTATCTCCATCTGTCTCTCTCTCTCTCTCTTTCTTTCTCTTTTTCTGTCTCCCTCTATATCCGTCTCTCTCCATCTATATCTCCTTTCTCTCTCTCTATATTTCTCTCCCTCTCTCTCTCTCTCAGCCCAGTAATGTTTCAGCCCCTGAGAATTTAGCAGGCTGCCTTCTGCTGGAGGTGCGTCCCTTACTGAGGGAGCAGGGCTGGAACTCCGGAAAGGAACTGTTGCCAACGTCCATCTTTTTAGTAGAAGCACTGCTGAATGTGTGGCACAGACTTCGCCCTAAATCCGATCGTTCAGCTGACATCATAAACATAGAAACATAGAAACTAGGAGCAGGAGTGGGCTAGTCGGCCCTTCGAGCCTGCACGATTCAGCATGATCATGACTGATCATCCAACTCATTCCCCTGGTCCCATTTTCTCCCCATATCCTTTGATCCCTTTAGCCCCAGGAACTATATCAAACTCCTTCTTGAAAGCACCTGATGTTTTGGCCTCAGTGTTTGAGAGTTCCACCCCTGTCTGGGTGACAAAGAAGGCTGGAATTTGAACAGCGATCATTTCATTGCCCCCCCAGGACTGACTGAGATCCTTGTCTAAGAGTCAAGTTTACCTTAAGAGAGGGACAGCTTTTCACTGTCATGGTGAAAAGATACAGTCATACTCGAGCCCTAAATGTTGGTGCTTAGCTATTGCCAGTTCCTTCTCCAGCCAGCCCCACTACTGCCCTCCAGCTCTCTCTCTTGGCCCTGATCGCTCACAATCAGACACTCCTTTGCTGCTGCTGGGGACTGTGAGGGACTTGGGCTTGGAGCTGGAAGGAGGTAACCCAGGACAATGAATAGTTTGCTTCAGTGTTCCTCAAGTCTTTTCTCCTGTGTCCCCATTTTAACACTTGCCGTCACCTCAGAGTGAAGATTGGAGGAGGGCAGGTGCAGAGTTACTGGGGAGGGTGGTACCTCAAAATATAACAAAGACAGCATTTGTTTCTCAGAGATGGTAGGAACTGCCAATGCTGGAGAATCTGAGATAACAAGGTGTAGAGCTGGATGAACACGGCAAGCCAAGCAGCATCAGAGGAGCAGGAAGGCTGACGTTTCGGGTCTGGACCCTTCTTCAGAAAAGACTTTCAGAAAAGGTTCCTCAGGCTCTGTTGGCATCAGTGATTGGTTGGAATAGTCTACACTATGGGCTCAAAGACAATGGCGCACATTGTCATTGAGAGACCAGTTCTAGGAAATGTGAAAACTGCACCCCATTGCTGCCTCAGAGTCGACATATCGCAAACCACAGTCTGGGAAGCTGTGCTTGAAATGCTCCATGAGACCCAGTCTCTAGTCGGAAATCGTGAAAAATTTGCTCCTGGGACTGGCTGAATTTGTCTGATTGACCTGGTGAGCTTGGGGAAGATCCCATGGAGAACAACATCTCGTGCTGTGGGTTGGTCTCGTCGTCTTTGGGGGTTGCTATATCCTAACCACTGAGAGATTGGTTGTTGCTAGCTGATCTGAGGAAATAATCTTTCGTTGCACAGCCAATCTACGGAGAATATTGTCCCAGCGACAGAAACAAGGTGCCACCAGTGTTAAAGGCCACCCCTGACTGACAGAGCTCAGGCAGATTTAGCCCCAGTCAGGGTAGACTTTACCAGCAGGCTTCCCAGCTTCTGATAGAACAAAGAACAAAGAAAATTACAGCACAGGAACAGGCCCTTCAGCCCTCCAAGCCTGCGCCGGTACTTGGCGCGTAATGGGCATTAACAAGCTGATCTGCAGCTGTCACATGTGAATGGGCATCCAGCATCCCCTCTGGGAAAATGGCCCCAGGACGAGACAGAGCCTGGAAATTGATTGACAGCTGAAAATTCCTCTCCCACACCTCCCCTCCCGCCCATCCCTCTCCCTATTAGTGGCTTAAAAACCCAGCATTTTGCCTCTGATTGTGCATGACTATTGCTTGAAGAGCTACAGTGAGGAAGGCTGGAGAATGAAATGGCAATAGCCAAGCTATCAATGTGCAGAAAGGTAAGTTATTTTACAACATGAGTGATTGGAACATGGGGCAAGGAAGATTACCCAAGTCACAACGTTGTGCGTTCCTGTATCCCGTGAGAGGGTCTCTGATAAATTAGTCTTCAGCTGGTTGACAGATTGAAAACAACAACAGCTTGCATTCACATAGCTCCTTCAATGTCATTAAACACGCCGAGACAATACACGAAAGCATTATTTGCAGATTTTGACATCGAGTCACATAAGAATAGGATGGGTAACGGAAAGCTTGTTCACAGAGGAATGTTCTAAAGTGTGGCTTAAAGAAGGTGAGAGAGGTGAAGGAGGCGAGAAGTCTAAGGAGGGAATTGTACAACTTGGGAACCAGGTAGCTGAGGACAAAGCCACCAGTGGTGGAGAGATTATTTTCTGAATTGTAAAAGAGACCAGAATTAGAGGAGTGTAGAGATCGGAGGGTCATAGGGCTGGAGGTAGTTACAGAGATAAGAAGGGTATCTTTACAGGAGAGTCCCTAAAAATAGGGTAAGAATTTTAAAGAGGACTTTAAAAAGCAGATAATCTGACAGAATGCTTTTGCCATCAAGGGACAGAAGAAGTAATCAGGAGCTGGAGGTGAGTGAGGATAGTTTTTTGATGTGTTAATAGGAACTGTAGGACTCAGATTGCTTCCTGTGCCTTGCCTTGACAGGACAGAGTGATTGCTTTTCAGGTGTGAGACTGCAGGGCAGTCTGTTAGAAAATTGAAAGAATTTGGCTTGTTACAGGAACTCGACTGATTGGTGTTTGGAGTCTGAACCGTGGGCACTTTTCGTAATGTGTCAGAAAACCGATGGAGCTTTTATTCGAAGATGAAGGTTGCTGACTGTGACTTAAACGCCTTCAGATGAGCTGGGAGACAAACACAATGATTTATTTTGCCTTGAGGCCTCTACTTTCTGACACCCGCTGGTGCCGAATAGATAGGGGGCTTCCCAATTACACACTGCTCATTAGGGGAACTATTGCTATTGGCAAGCTGCTCCTGCATTCCCTTCCCCCACCCCCAGCCCACTGCCTTACATCCTGAGAGCACTAAACTTTCACTGGCATCAATTCTGTAAGCCCCTGCAATGCTAACAAGACAATGTTACATTTGTACATCTCTCCTCTCACTCTAAGGGAGTGTCCAACTCCTGCCGAGATGTGTCGAGGATGGAGAAAAACATTACATTAATCACTCCAATCTTGGGTTAAGAATGTCCCTGATTGTTTCTGAGTCAACTGGTGTTTATTTTTAATCTACGTTACCCTAGGGAGGGAGGGATGGGTGTGTGAAAGTAAATTGTTGGAACTCTTCTTATCCTTTTATTATGATGTGAAGGTGCCAGTTTTGGACTGGGATAGGTCACCTGACGAAGGAGCAGTGCTTCGAAAGCTTGTGATTTCAAATAAACCTGTTGGACTATAACCTAGTGTCATGTGACTTCTGACCTTGCCTTTTTATTGTCAGACTTGCATCACCAAGCAATGCCCCCAAAGTACAGAGCACCCAAAGGTGCTTGGTGATTGCCAGAGAATAGATGGAGCATGTTCACTAGGGCAGGGAATTATGGGTACTACAGCTGCCATTGTTGATTGATCAACCCATCAGTCAGGAACGTGGGGAAGTGGATGTTCAGGGGCAGGATTTTATCTAACCTCCTAGACAGGTGACAGAATCTTGATTTTAAGAAACATTCTGGAAGAGGAAACCTAAGGAGGGAATTCCAGAGTTTAGGATGTGGGCAACTGGTAGCCCTGGGTAAAGTTATGGGAATTTGGGTAAGGGTGTGGCTGCATAAAAAAATCAGAATGGAAGAAGCACAAAGATTGCCAAGGGTTAATAATAACGGAAAATGCTGGAGAAACTCAGCTGGTTTGGCAGCATCTGTGAAACTGGGTTAAGGTTTTGAGTGCAACATAACTCTTCAGCAGATTTCAAGGGGGTTCCAAAATGGTGTTTTATACACTACGGACAGAGAGGGAGGAGGAGCAAATGGAATGGCTGGTGCCAAAGACCAAGTGGTTGCTAATGGTCGTGAAAGGATGATAAAGTTGTACAACAAGTGCGAATGAGGGTAGGAAAAGGAGAGAAAGTATCTGCTCTGCTGAGGGCTATATGGCTCCAGGATGTTGCAGTGAGAGGAAAGAAAGGCATGTATAAATTTGAAAGCAAGGATGAGAGTTTTAATAATGAAAGGGACCTAATGGAAGAAAGAGCTCAGTGATTTGGGACACTGGCAATGCTTTTATAATTAACAGTTGGTCAAAAGATTGCATCCCAAACTGCCAAATGAAGTAAAATTTGGAAACGCTTGATTATTTTAATAAGCTGAAATGTATATTAAGCACAGTTTGACATCATAATTGATTTTTAAAAACTTTTTCTGAATGACAGGGAACTCTTGGTGTTCCTGGCCTGCCTGGGTACCCAGGAAGAAAAGGTCCAAAGGTGAGTGGGGGCCAGGGTGGGGGGTTTATGTTCAAAGTTCGAAGGTTTGTCACATCAACATCCTGAGTTAACTTGTGAGAATAGGATGTAGAAAAATGTTACTAATTTGTTTTCCTCATTTTCTGGGAGGTTCAGAGAAAGGTCAAAGTCCATCTTGAACTCAAAAATTCTGCGGATGTTGGCCTAAAATGTTTACTTCACTTCATTCTCAGGATGTATGCCTCGCAGATAAGGTCAGCATTTGTTGTCCATCAGCATGGTAAACTACAGTCATTAATGGCAACCATTAATCTATTTGATTATTGTAAATCCACATCTGTTTCACTAATGCCCTTTAAGGAAGGAAATCTGCCATCTTTACCCAGTCTGGCCTACATGTGACTCCTGACCCACAGCAACGTGGCCCAACAAGCTACTGAGTTATTGAGAAGGTAGCTCATTCTCACCTTCTCAAGGGAAGTTACAGATGGCAGGTGGACAATGGTCACTAAGATGGCAGGCAAAGTAGGAGAGATATTTGCAACCAAGACAGTTGTAGGGCTGTGAAAATGAGATCGATGGGAATACATTTGGAATCCTCCAGCAAAGAGCTAGCACAGTTATGGTGGGCTGCTTGGCCTCCTCCATGTGCACCATCAATAGAAACTGCAAGGTTTACTGATTAAATAATCATCCCCTACTCTGTACTTCCAGTTATTTTGTCGGTTGGGGAGGAAGGTTTAATTGTAACATTGCCAGTCCAACGTCCACCAAACCTTCTACTTTTTGTTTCGGTGAATTTTATGTTTCTAAGAAGTATCCGTCTTTCCTCATCAGGGTTCAACGGGATTTGCAGGATCTCCGGGTCTGAGTGGAGAGAAAGGCAGAAGGGTATGTGTGTCTCCGTCCATCATTGGCTGTTCTCCTCAGAACAGTGGCTCCTGAATATCCTGGAAGGAAGAAATTCTGTAGTCCTTACCCAGCCTGGTCTGTACATGAACTCAAGCCCGTAGCTAGTGTACCTGATTCTGGCTGAGCAGGTCACTCGGTTGTTTCGAAAGTTACTCACCACCATTTTCCCAAGGAGCAGTAGAATGGCGCAGTGTGTTAAACAGGGGATAAAAGGTTAGATAGACAGAGTCCATCTTCCAGTCAAGGTTTTAATCCAACTCCCACATCACAAAACTCCCACACACTTGTTCCCCACATTTATACACCTGCATCCCACCCAATTATCTCCTAAATAACGTACAACCATCATCTGTTCCCTAGTTCCACTTGGTCTCAGGCATCCTTGCCATAGAATCATACAGTGCAGAAGAGGCCCTTTGGCCAATCCAGTCTTTACTGCCACAAATTTACTGCTCGACTCTACTGCACTGTAATGAAGTGCAGTCACATTAAACAGGGATCTGCTGACACTGTTCTAGGACAGTTGTTTTGTGATAAAATGGGAATAAAACTTTCTCACCTTGACACAGTGAGAAGTGGACTATAGAAGATGTAATAGCACAGGACTATCTTTCTGCCTTTACAGTATCTGACCTGGGAATGCTTAATGCTCATGATGGCGTTAACATTGGGCCCAACACTGACATCCATTTAACTTAATATATACACCCAGTAATGAGGAAACGAATGAAGAGTGACAATAACATATCAACATAAAGTCCATTTGACTTATTCACACCTGAGAGACCCATCCAGAACTGGAATTCCATGAATTTAAGAGAGGATCCATAGATTTGTGCATCCATAGACCTCCTTCAGTGGTCAAAGTAGAAGTGAACCTACATGGCCACATTTCCCCATTAATGTGGGATATATTTGCTGGGAATAATCTGGGAAGAGCTTGGGAAGTGAGTTTGACCCAATTGGGTGAGGGAGGTCAATGTTTGAGGGAAGATTCAGGATGCAGAGATGATTGTACTAGTCTAGAATTTACCAAGATGTCGACATGTGCCTTAATTGAGAGGTGTGCACACACTCCATGTGAACAGTGGGCTTATACAGTGAAGTGTCGGTTGTAGAGATGATAAGATCCCAATATCTGAACCAGTTAATGCTCCTTGTTGTTGTTGCAACAGAGCAGGTCCTCTTGATTGTTGAAGCACAGGTATCTTCTGACCCAGGTTGATCTGCCAATCCCAATGTTATAATGAAGCCTTTCTTTCAATTGTCTAACAGGGTAGAGCCGGGCCCCCTGGCATCCGTGGACAGCGAGGACCCACGGTGAGTGTCTCCTCTTCATTACAAAAAAAAATGAACTGTTTTATCAAGGGGGAAATTCTGAAAGACTTCAGAACAATATCTCATGAGTATTCTCTGTCTGTCCTCTCACTCTTCTTCCCTGTCTTCGTCAATCTCTCTGCCCCTCTCCCTCTGTGTCTCTCTCTCTCTCGTGCTGTCTCTCTCCCACTTGTCTCTCTGTCTTTCCCACCCACTTTCTCTGTCCTTCTTTAATTTCTCTAACTCTGTCCCCTCCGCTTTCAATGTCCCTCTCTCTTGCCTAACCTAACTCTCTCTTCCACCTCCTTTCTCTGACTTTGTCCCTTTCTGTATCTTTCCCTCTTCTTTAGTCTCTTTGATTCTCTTCCTATCTCCTCCCTTTCTCTTCCTTTCTCCATCTCTCTTTTTCTCTCTTTTCTTACATTTCTTCTCGTTCCCTTTCTCTCACTCTTGTTATCTATCCCTCTCAGTTTGAGTTTCTCCCTTTCTCATTTTCTCTCTCACTAACTTACTACTTTTCTCCTTCTTGCAGTCCCCATTGACCTCTCTATTCCCATATATTTCCACTTATTTGTTATAACACTGCATAAAGTATTACTGTGAGGCTTGAGCTTCCTGTACAACTGAGCACTTTCCAATCAGTGAGGCATTTTGTGAAATTTACACACAGCAGCTGATTTCTACACAGCAAGATCCCACACACAGCAAAGTGAAAATGATGGGAGAATCTATTTCAGGACGTTTGTGTGATGAAAATTGGCCTGAACATCCCTTACTTATCTTTAAGCTATCTTTAAACTAGTGCCATGGCATCCCTTGTGTCCATCTTCGGCTCCAAATGGTCCTGAGTCCAACATCTGATTTGAAAGATGTGTCTCTGACAATGCAGCACTCTGTCAGAGCTGTACAGATCATGCTCAAGTCTCAAGAGTAGGACTTGGAACTCAAAGTGTGCACTAGAAGCAAGTGTACTACCCACTGAGCTGCTGACATACATTGTCCAAGTCTCCTCCATTGTGGAAAATGAGGGAGTGATTGTTCTAGACGGGTATGGATAGGGACTGAGTTGTAATGTTAAGAGCGTCACCCTGAGGTGCTCAAATGGGTTACGTGAGAGTCAGTGGCACCTCACTATTCCTTGGAGAGGTGGAGAGGAAATGGGATTCAGCAGAAGGGAAGCTGAGAAGAGCTCGTGTGAAATATAATTTCTGTTTCGTATCATTAGGGCGAGCGAGGCGAAAGAGGGCACAGAGGACCTCCTGGCAAGCCTGGACCAAAGGTAAGCTGTCTCAATAAACCTTTAAATAAACCGTTTAATGAAGTGGGCACTAAAATATATCATGGCAAATCTTTGTGTCTGTTTGCATGGAAGTGAAGGGCAATTACAAAGAACAAAGCAGCCCACTTGATTAGCACCACAGCCGCAAGAATCCATTCCCTCTACCACTGACACTCAGTAGCAGCAGTGTGTACCAACTACAAGATGCACTGCAGAAATTCACCAAAGATCATCAGCCAGCACCTTCCAAACCCAGGACCACTTCCATCTAGAAGGACAAGAGAACAGCAGACACATGGGAACACCACCCCCTGCAAGTTCCCCTCTAAGCCACTCACTATCCTGACCTGGAAATATATCACCCTTCCTTCACTGTCACTGGATCAAAATCCTAGAATTCCCTCCCTAACAGCATTGTGGCTGCAGCAACAGCAAATAGACTACAGCAGTTTAAGAAGGCAGCTCACCACCACCATCTCAAGGGCAACAAGGGATGAACAATAAAATGTTGACCAGCCAGTAACATTCATGTCCCATGAATGAATGTTTTTTGAAAAAAATGATTAATTACAATTAATGGTTTGCCTTTACCCGTTGTCCACCACTGTGAAAAGAAGAATCCTGTTTTGGACAGAACCATGCTTTATGAGGTGATAGCTGTGTCTAAGTTGACAAAATGCAACGTAATAGGACTTCACTAGTCAACATCCAACTGGGCATTGAAGTAACAGAGACTGCTCCAATTGTTGAGCTCTGCCATTGGAGGTTTTCCATTTCATCCATCTCTCAGAAACATGGCTTTTGGATCCCTGCCTGGCACATGGGTGTCTTTGGCAAGGACGGCGTTTATTGCCTAAGTCTAATAACCCTTGAACCACTGAGCTCCAGTTGGTGTGGGAAGTTGCTTGGAGGGATTTTCCCAGTGGGGGAAATATTAACTGGTGCCAATTCACGATGGTGTGTATTGCTCGGATAGCTGCTTGCAGGCAATGGTTCTCCCAAGTGCCCTTGGCCCCCTTGTTTGTAGAGGTTGCATGCTCAAAAATTACTGTAGAAGGAGCAAATGGGAATCTGAGTGAAATTAATAATGGCTGTCTCATGTGGAATAGTTGTTGAGATATAACAATAATGTCAGAATTGCAGGGGGCATTGATTCACCCCTCATTTGGAATTGTTGTAGAGTCATAGGGACCTGCAACACGTTATACCATAATGCTTTGCATCAGACAGTTAATGAAAAAAGGACAAGTTATATTTTCACAATGTAAATGTGTGCTGATTATCGACATTATTCATCAAGATTATTTTGCTGAAATAAGGCACACCTTGACGAAGCTTTGCAACTTGCACTCACCAGGACAGTTCTCAAGAATAGCAACATGAGGGGAACCCAACATTTATACATGCCGTTCCCTGGTTCACATCTCAGGGCAATGACTTGATCAATCAGAGTCAACCTGCCCGGTTTAAAATTTAAATAATGGTTAGCAGTTAACTGTCAGTCGTTATTAATTGGTGCCTCGACCAATCAGAGTCCACTTGTCAACCGGCCAGCAATCTCCTCACACACAGTATAAGTTTTGTTTTCCCTTTACGTGGGTATCCCTGCAAAGTATGAATGCAAGATGAAAACCTTTAACAATGTGTCTCTTTTCACAAGTACTGACGTTCTGCTTTACCAAATGACCAGGAGATTATTTGATAAATGTGAGTGTTTAGGGATGGGGTTCAGGAAGTGCATTCCTTCCTCTGATGATGTGGTGGGCCTGGCAATGGAGTGGGCGTGGGCATGGCGGGTAGGGTTGGTGTGTAATTTTGCAGTTTCCTAACCTTGTGGAAATATGGTACCAAGAGTCCCTAGTTTTAACACCAGCAGCCGACTGTTCACCATACATACGATCACAAGACCACATTTTTGAAACTGAGCCCATGGCAGTGTGAAGGCAGCTGTTTAAACTGCTCAAGAAGTTCCTGAGCAAGAGTCTTTGTCTTTTCCCTCCCCACCCCCCAACCCCTTTATTGTGGTCCATGTTTCCACACTTGACCCTTTCCCAAAGGGATGCTGACCTGGAGTTGGCTCCAACCTGGTTGGTGTGAAGGTCTATGGGTTTGGTCCCTATTTTTCCTGTCCATGGCAAACCCTGGTTCATTTCTCAGGGCAGTGACTTGATTAATCAGAGTCAACCTATCTAGTTTTGCTGCTAGTGACCTCTTTTGCTCTTCTGCAGGGAATTGCCGGTAACGATGGCCCACAAGGTGCCCCAGGGGAGAAGGTAAGACTTTGACTGTAAAGACATGTCCATGGGAATTTGTTGGCATCCTGCGCGTGGTTCTGGTCTCCATGAAGGAACTGGAGATGGTGCAAAGAATGATTTATACTGAGAAGTCATAAATATCAGCAGACAACAAACAGGTTGGGACTCTTTTACTCTGAAAAATACAAGTCGTGGTGTGTGCTGCTGTGAAATGTTGTTAAAGTTATATAAGAGTTTGTTATAGTGGCTGTAGTTCTGATTCTAATTGGTGCGGCAACCAGGGTTAAGAGCCATCAATATGCGATAGTGTTCATAAGGAGGAACCAGGCAGTGGTAAGAATGCGGAACTTGCTTTCATGGAAGTAATTGAATGAATTGACGGATTTAAAGGGAATCTAGAAAGCCACATGAAGGAGAAACAGATAGACGGTTATGTTGATTGGGGTTAGACGAAGAGGATAGGGAGGAGGCTTAGGTAAAGTGTAAATAGTGGTATGAACCGTTGGGATGGGTGGCCTGTTTCTGCAACTTCTGTGGAACTCCAACTAGACTTCTTCAAGTGAGTTTTAGCAGTCAAACATATCTCTTCCACTGTGGAGCAGCAAGTAGGTACTTATGACTGTGGAGATGTTTATTGGACATTTTCCCTCAGGCAGTGTAGCCAACATGATAAGATAGGGCACTTGGAAACAAATGTTATACTCAGGAAAGCCAACTGGTGAAGGAAGCTACTGGAACCAATATTAACCAGTCTAACATCTATTTGTGGATTTGAACATTACATACATGAGCTTCGTAACTCAACCACGTCTGAGTTTGAATATTTATTTATAGGTAAATGTAAAGCCGCTGTAGTCTTACCAGTCCACAGGGCAGCTCTCTCATTAAAAAGAGATAACTGGTGGTGGTTTAGTTTGAAGGTCACTAGAGCAGCCCCAGTGAAATCCTATTTCATGCCCTCCATACATTTATAATTAAACATAACAGATCAACAATTAACAACACATGTGATAGAATGTACTATGTCAGAATTGGTTGATCAGAAGACATGCAGGGCTCCTTCATTTGCAATTCACAAGGTTAATTTACTGGCTTTAAAAAGTATTCTATAAATCTATTCTGCTAAATACAATGTCTCATGTAACGATATAGAGGGTTTGGACATGAGCATTTAGAGATGGTCCCTTAATACTTTTCTACCAGTTAGACAGCCCATGATTGAAGTCATAGCAAGTAAGCTGTGAACTCCTAGAAATCTACAGTGTGGAAGCAGGTCATTCAGCCCATCAACTCCACACTGACCCTCCGAAGCACATCCCACCCAGACTCACCCTCCCTATCCTAGTCTGTTCCCATAACCCTGAATTTCCCATGGCTAATCCACCTACCCTATGCATCCCTGGACACTGTAGGCAATTTAGCATGAACTGCTTATGTAAAGTGACTTTTAAACATTAATAAGAGATTGCCATTTAGTTTGAGTTACCCTGGGGTACTAGCAGTGATACTGGTACAAAAGATTGAATGGTATCTCCTACAGACCATTCAGCGAAGAACAGTAGACAGCATTATATGCAAAGTGTCAGAGGTATAGGAACATGAATGAGGTTAAACTTTTACTACAGGATTGCCTCTGTAAAGAAGATAAGTATTTCCCCTGGGTTGTGACCAGCTTCAACCCACCTGCAGTTCAGCCCCTCAGAACAAATATACAGAGGCACTTTCTCAGGCTCAGCTTCTCCTCTGTTTGATTTGGCAGAAGCTCTGAGAGCACACAAGGAGAACAAAAGCCAAGGATATCCCCACTCGAGATTGGAGGAATCCTTCTCCCGTGGACTTTGGCAGTTTGTTTTCATGCCTAGCAAACTGCTGTTACTCTAGCTCTGACTTACTGTTGTCAGATGGACTTTATGAAAGGAACCCAGCTTCTCTTCCTCGTGGCTTCACACTGCGGTCGAGAACGAGCGGGAGTCCGGGGCTCCTATCAGAGCACAGTGTGTGACAGCTGCAAAGAGTCGAGAGTTGGGGGACACCCATGAAGCAGACGATAGGGGAGGATGAAGCAGGTCATGGGAGGTACAAGGAGAGGTGGCTATCTTTGGAGAAATAATTCAGCCTGAGCCAGCCTGTTTCTATCTCTTTGCTGAGCTGGTTGTCAGGTTGCAACACAGGTCTGACCTCGCAGCCATTGTGAAATGAAAATGTCTTTGGAAAAGTCTGAAATGTTGAACAAGAGACAAATGTCAGGAAGATCCTCACCCCAAACCAATTGGAATAATCCAGACAGGGCTTAAAGCTGGGTCAGTAAACATGAAATATTTGTTATTGAATGTGTGGATTCCATGTAAACTTATATTAGTTTGACAGCAGTGTCTAATTAGGTAAGAATCTCACTTGGCTGTTTGCTGTAAAATAGCCGTTTGAGATGGTTAGCTTCTCCTGTTACTCAAGTTCTGAGACACCTTCTTATTCCAGGGTGCTGTACATACAGAGTCAGGTATAAGGAAACTACCATGTGGGACTTTGTCATGCAGTTACAAGACATAATATAATTTGTAATGAAAGAGCTCTTTCCCTTGACTTAAGAACGTAGGACAAAGGTCATAGTTTCCGGATAAGGAACCAATCATTTACAACTGAGATGAGATGAAATTTCTTTGTTCAGAGGATTGTAAATCCATGGAATTTTCAAGACTGAGGTCAATAGATTTTGGAACCCTAAGGAAATCAAGGGATGTTTTGGGATGGGAAGAGAAATCTGAGTTAAGGTAGAAGATGAGTTAAGGTAGAAGAGGTGATCTGATTGAAATCTTCAAGACATCAACAGGAAAAGACAAGGTAGATAAAGATAAATTATTTCCACTGGTTGGGGATTCTGGAGCTGGGGGACATAGTCTGAGAATTAGGACCAGACTGTTTAGAAGAGATGTTAGAAAGCACTTATATGCACAAGGATGCTAGATGTTTGAAACTCTCTTCCACAAACAGCAGTGGATGCTGGGTCAGTTGTTAATTTTAAATCTGTGACAGTTTTAATTTAAGCAGAAGCATTAAGGACTAGAATATGATCCAAAGGCAGGTATTGGGAGTTGGGCCAGAGATCAGCCATGATCTTGTTGAATGGCAGAGCAGATTCAGGGGGCTGAGTGGCCTACTCCCATTCCTTTGTTTCTATAAGATCAGCCATGAGAAATCTCAGCCATGAGAAATCTCCACCATGATTCCTCATTATGTTTTGTGTGCACTGCCTTTGTGTAAGTGTAAAAAAATAGATTATAAAACTGTCAACTGTATCTGAAGATTGCAAATACTCCGATTTACTTGGATTTTGTTCAGCATTTTCCCAAAGTTCAAAGGTTTAAGTTGACACTATTCAATTTTTTAAGGTTTTAAGAAGTATTCTACAAATCTATTCACCCACGTGCAATGTCCCATTGAGGTTTCAGTGTAAGCATTTAGAGATGGTCCCTAAATACTTTCTACCAGTTAGAGAGACCATGATTGAAGTTACTGCAAGCAAAGTGTGAACTTTCTTTTTGTGACATTTCAACAAATTGTCCAACATTTCTAACCTACCGCCCCAAAACCTGTAACCTCAGTATTGATCTGTTCATGATCTAGCATATTGCTGGACTGGTTCTGAATGATCAGCAGTTGTCCCCAAACCACTGTCCCAACTGTGGCATTGCACGCTTCTTCATGTCAAAGTGGAGTCTGACTGAGTTTCATCACAGCAAAGCTGATGGTGTCTTTGTTATTGTTTCAGGGACCACAAGGACCTCAGGGACCCACTGGGTTTCCAGGCCCCAAAGGACCCGCGGTGAGTAATATTTCCTCGTTCTATTTTATTCAGGAGGGTCGGGGAGGAGAGTTTCAGGTTTGCTGGATTCCTGGTCGAGAGACCTACCTGAGAAAACCTATCTGGAATCCCTGTATTCTTGCTTCAATCTCAGTGCAGGATAAGTTTCGTGACAGTAAAACATAAATGTTGGTGAAGCTCAGTGGATCTGACAGCATCTGTGGAGAGGAAGCAGACCATTCGGAAGCAGGGTCACTGGACCTGAAACATTAACTCTGGAAAGCAGACCTTACTTCAGAATGGTCTGTTTCCTCTCCACAGGTGCTGCTAGGACCTGCTGAGTTTCTCCAGAGGTTTGTTTTGCATCTGCAATTCTTTGTTTTATTAATGAGCTTGGTGACCTTTGTTTGGGTGGAGGTGTTTTTCTGCAGAGTGGCGTCCTTGGGCTGGTGTGCCTCTCTGTTTAATTATACAGTCCCTACAGTGAGGGAGCAGGACATCCCATCCAGACACTACTCGCACCCCCCCAATAACCCTGCATTTCCTGTGGCTAACCTACCTAGCCTACACATCCCTGGACACTACAGGGTATTTTGCCAATCCACCTGACCTGCACATCTTTGGACTGTGGGAGGAAACCTACACTGACACTGGGAGAATGTGTAAACTCCAGACAGACAGTTGCCCAAGGCTGGAATTGAACTGGGGTCCCTGGTACTGTAAGGCAGCAGTGTTAACCACTGAGCCACTGTACGACCCCTGTTGAGAAAGGTGCAGCGGTTATTTGTATCATGAAAAGAAAGAGCAAACTGCTTCCTTCCTCGTTCTGGTTGTGGGGCATGGCAGAGAGCAGCAGTGGACTATTTCCTCCCAGCCGTTCTTGAAGAATTTGGATCAAAGTTTATTGAGGAGATATTTGGCTGGGAGTGCTCTGTCTGGTGTGAGTGCAGATGTGGGATTGGACTGCTGTTGAGCAAGAGATAGAATAGCAACAGTTTGGCACTAACTGTCCTTACAAGTGTGGCTCCTGTGTGTGTTTACACACTATTCAACAGCCAGACAGAACATAAAATCACAAATGCTTAGGAAAATCCAGCATGAAATCTGACTGAACCAAATAAAGAAGCTTTGGAATAAAATTTGTAGATGGAACAGGTGCAAACAGTTTGCAAAACCATTCTGAGATACATTGAAATTGTTCATCTATATGCATGAGGCTGTAAATTCCTATGTAGTCAGCTTAATCCATGAGGCAACATTAGACTTGGTTTCAATTAAATATATTTCATGCACTTTTTTCCATAATTACATGACTCTCACGTGACCCTGCTGAAAGCTACTTTATCTTCCAACAAAACCAAAAAGGAACGAGCAAGGGGCTAGGGATTTCTGTCGGGAACAAGAGAGCAGGCTTGGGGTTTGATTATCATTGTAGAGAAAAGAAAGCAGAGGAGCTGTGGGTATGACCTGATGCCAGATCACTTCTATGATGGGCGTGTTGTTAGGGTAGATGTAGAGAGCACAATGCCAATGGGGAGCACAGTGGCTCAGTGGTTAGCACTGCTGCCTCACAGCAGCAGGGACCCGGCTTCAATCCTAGTCTCAAGTGACTGCCTGTATGGGGTTTGCACGTTCTCCCTGTGTCTGTGTGAGTTTTCCTCCTTCCACAGTCTTAAGATGATGGGCATGGATAGGGTGAATAGCCAAAGTCTTTTTCCCTAGGGTAGCAGAGTCCAAAACTAGAGGGCATAGGTTTAAGGTGAGAGGGGAAAGATTTAAAAGGGACCTAAGGGGGAACGTTTTCACACAGAATACGGTGCCTGTATGGAATGAAGTGCTAGAGGCTGGTACAATTGCAACATTTAAAAGGCGTCTGGATGGGTACATGAATAGGAAGGATATGGGCTGAATGTTGGCAAATGGGACTAGATTAGTTCAAGATATCTGGTCGGCATGGATGATTTTGACCAAAAGATTTGTTTTCATGCTGTACAGGTCTATGACTGTATGTGCAGGTTAGGGTGGATTGGCCATGCTAAATTGTCCATAGTGTCCAGGGATGTGCTGGCTAGGTGGGTTAACCATGGGAAATGCAGGATTATAGGGAAAGGCTAGTGGACGTGGGTCTGGGTAGGCTCTTTGGAAGGGTGGCGTAGACTCGATGGGCTGAATGGCCTATTTCCACACTGTCGGGATTCTATGATTTCAATAACAGGGAGTCTAAGAGTGGCGACTATAAACATTGCATAGTCATGAATAAATCTGATTGGGTGTCCTGGAGAAACTTCAGAGGGAGCCTTCTGCTGTTTCTTTTCATGAGGAACCTTTCCGCAGGGGCACGGTCGCCGAGATAATTAATATGCTGGAAACCTGGGGCAAACCGTCCGACCGCGAATCGCATCTCGGGGTTGATTTTGAATAGGCTGTAGGGTTTGGCTTGCTCGTGAATGGTCTGACAGATACTGCTTCACCTTCCTGATTCTTGCAATCTCCTCAGGGACCCGCTGGAAAGGATGGGATACCCGGGCACCCCGGGCAACGCGGTGAGCCTGTAAGTTTCTCCTCCGGACCGTACCGCTTTTCAGCAGAGGGAGCTTTCCCACTCATTAGTCCTGACTTTGCAGAGGACGAAACGTAGATAAGGAAGCTCGTCACTGCTTAGATACGTGGCTCAGTATGTTCTTCTGGTAGTACGGGAACGTGGCAGCCCCTTCACCCTTTCAATCCTGATGCCGTGGTGCTACTACAGCAAATGCAGCAAGGATGCTTCACTGAGATCAAGGGGTTTGTGCCAACGATGGGACGGGTCCTCGGTCTGGGGTAGCTCAGGACTCTAGGGGACCTACTGTCTCTGGGTTGGTGGTGGCAGAGCCACTGTGCTTGCGTCTCGGACTGAATCAGGGCCAGGTACCCAGGTGAGTAGCAGCTCCAGATCCCATGCTTTCTGACCTGCCCCCCCCCACTCTTTAGTGTGGTTTAATATTATTAACACCAAGTGAATTAAGTGAACAAATGATGGATGTTAATGTTGAGTGGTAAAGGGAAACAGTCAAGAGATGTTAATTTGATGAATTGTGTGTTTGTGTGTGTGCCTGCGCACGTGCATGTATGTATCTGAAGAGGTTTTCCAGTCTATGTTCTTGTGGTACAGTGGGAGTGTCTCTACTCCTAGCCCACAAGGTCCAGGTTCAAGTCCAGTATGCCCGGCTGGTCTGTTGTAACAAGTTGGCCTAAAAATATTTTTAAAGAGGACCCCTTCTAAGACCAGGGGCTGATGTGCATCATAATTCCACAAAATGACACTTCATTAAAAACTTTCCTTTGAGATTTTGCCTTTGTGTAGGTGGGTTTCTTGGTTTTGTGGCTTTATTGAAATAGAGAGAGAGGTCAGCTGGCATAAGGGAGTACGTGAAGAATTATGAAGAGGTTTACCAGGATGCTGCATGGATTAGAGGGTACGAGCTACAAGGAGAGGCTGAAAAAACTCGGGTTGTTTTCTCTGGAGAGGCAGAGGCTGAAGGGAGAGTTGATAAAATGTCTAATACTGGGGGGGGGGGGGGGGGGAGGGGGGGGGGTGGGGGGGGGGTGGTGGCATGCATTTAAGATGAGAGGGGATAAGTTCAAAGGAGATGTGAGGGGCCAGTTTTTTTACACAGAGAGTGGTAGGAGTCTGCAATGCAATGCCAGGGGTGGTGGTGGAGGTGATGGGGCGTTTCAGGGATGTTTAGATAAGCACATGAAAATGCAAGGCATGGAGAGATATGGACCAAGGGCAGGCAGAGGAGATTAGTTTAATTTGGTGTCATGTTAGGCACAACATCGGCTGAAGGGTCCGTTCCTGTGCTGTACTGTTCTATGTTCTGTGTTCTGTAAGCTCTCTGTCAAGGAAAAGCTTTGAGTCTCAGTCTATGCTTCATCTTCTAGCTTGGATAAAGTTAACAAGTATGTGCTGTGTATGTTTTGCATCTGAAATCTTGCTTTAGTCATATAGGAGCTTGGTTAGAGCACACCTGGAGTACTGTGTGCAGTTTTGGTCTCCTTACCTCAGGAAGGATATTATTGCCATAGAAGGAGTGTAATGAAGGTTCACCAGACTTGTTCCTGGGATAGCGGGACTGTACTATAGAGAGGGAAATTAGGCAAACTAGGCCAGTTTTCTCTCTAGAGTTTTGAAGAATGAGAGGTGATCTCATTAAAACTTACAACCTATTTAAAGGGATGGGCAGGTTAGGTGCAGATAAGATGTTTCTCCTGGTTGTAGAGTCTAAAACCAGGGATGCATGTTTTAAAAATAAAGGAGTCTCACACTTCGGTCTGAGATGAGGAGAAATTATTTAACTCAGAGGATTGTGATTCTTTGGGTGTGGAAACTCAGTCTTTGTGTTTAAGGAAAATATTGTTAAGTTTTTGATGACGCGTGCTGTACAGGGTTATTGGGATGGCTTGGGTAAAAGGTATTGAAGTGTGTGATCAGCCATAACAGTGTCGAATGCCAGGGTAGACATAATGGGCTGAATGGCCTACTCCTGTTGCTGCATTCCTATCGGTTGTCCACCATTGAGGGACAGGTCATGAACATGACTCAGATGATGGCCATCAGGGGAGGAGGCTGGTGGGGAGGGGATGAAGGCAGGGGCACAAACTCTTGGGGCCTGTTTCCCGATGGAGTTCCTCAGCTGGGTAACCATTCCTGAATCCTGGCGTTCTCTTTCCCCAGTTGCAGATTAGTTCACTTCCCTTTCCTTTCGTTTCCAGGGTTTCCAAGGCAAGACCGGACCACCCGGTCCCCCTGGAGTTGTGGGACCCCAGGTAAGCTGAGCGGCTCCAGCCCTAGACCGGGGTTGGGGAAGACGGAGTGGTTGAGTTGAGTTAGGAACGTCACCGACATCTCCCGGATCAGGTCTGAATCCAGCCAGTGATGTTGAGCAGTCTTCCATCACATTCTGTATTGACCAGAGCAGATGGCCGCACAGCGGTCACACTTTCACCTCTGACCTGGAGCATCCCAGTCTGAGATTGACTTCACAATGTGAACACTGTGTCTGGGCTGATGCAATCCTGAGGATGGGACATCAAACTGAGGCCTACCCGTCCCTTTTCAGGTGGATATAAATGATCCCATAGCTCGGAGCACTGTGGAGGTTCAGTCACTGAGCACGTTCAAGATAGAGATCGGTAGATTTCTAGATGTTAAAGATATCAACAAATCTGGGGCTCGTGTAAGAGAGTGGCTTTGAGTTAGAGAATCATCCATGGTCATAAAATTCCAACAGTGTGGAAAGAGGCCATTTGGCCCATTGAGTCTGCACCAACTCTCTGAAGATCATCCCGCCCAACCTACCCTGTCACTGTAGCCCTGCATTTCCCATGGCCAATCCACCTATCCTGCACATCCCTGAACACAAGGGACAACTTAGCACGGCCAATCCACCCTAGGGGAGGAAACTAGAGCACCCAGAGGAAACCCACGCAGACACGGGGAGAATGTGCAAACCCCACACAGACAGTCACCCGAGGCTGAGAATCGAACCCAGGTCCCTGGCGCTGTGAGGCAACAGTGCTAACCACTGAGCCACCCACTGAATCGTTCAGCATATTTGGTAGGTGTCCAGTCCTGCTGCTGTTTCCTATGTCCCTCAAACTGGAGGATTGTCCGTGATGCCCTGTCTGATCTTTACCCCTCATTCAAGATCGCGAGAGAAAACAGATTATTCATTCATTGGTGTTTGTGAGATGTGCATAAACCGGCTGTGGTATTTCCTACCCTTACAATAGTGAGCACAATTCCAAAATTACATCGTTGACAGTGAAGCACTTTGAAGAGTGAAAAGTGCTATCTCAATGCAAACTCTTTGGAGAAATGACTCTTGTTCCTTTTTATCCGTCAGGGTTCCGCTGGCGACAGTGGCCCAATGGGAGAACGGGGGCACCCTGGAGCTCCAGGACCTCCAGGTGAACAGGGCATCCCAGGCAGCGCAGGGAAGGAAGGGGGAAAGGTAAGTTGGCTGTCTGGATCTTGCAGCTCCTTATCTCCGTCGGAATTGGGAGAGGGACGTTCCCTCTGTGTCACTCCCGTCAGCGGGTGGTATCCTGTTGTGCTGGGTTTGCCATTTCTGTCCTCGTCCCCTCATCAAGCTCACTCTGCCCCTGTCTTCCTGAGTTCAGGTCAACTGAGCTAGTTAGTCCCATTCCCAGCTGTAAAATGGTAATAGTTCCAGAGGACTCTCAGAGAGAGAGAGAGAGAGAGACGACTGGTGGTGAAGTTAACCTGAGGGTCACCAGACCTCAGGTGAGGGGAAGAGGTGAAGGACTTCCATGGTAACCACAGCTGGTGTGGGAATTGACCTGTGCTGTTGGCATTACTCTGCATTGCAACAAAAAATGCACCATCCAGCCAACTGAGCTAACTGACCCAGCTCAGCAATAATGCTGGCTCAACTCACTGATCACAGCCTAGGGCTTTTTGTAACAATGCCTTTGGTGCCATTGGCTGGATAGCCAGCAATGTGCTCGCACCCCCACCCCAAGTTCCAAAGGTTAACCAATTACACTGCTCGCTGTCAGAAGCCCAGACCACAAGTTCTATGGAATTGTGAAGGAGATGCTCTGCAGTTAAGAGAGACTCCCTTCTGTGATTTCACGTCTTTCCCTGCACGCGGTAGGGAACTCTCCTTCCCCTGCTCTCCTCTGCTCTGATTGGTGATGGTGGTTTGGGAGACCAGGCTGCTGGACCCACTGAGACAACAGATGGCCCCGATTGGCTGTGTGTGAAGACAATGAGGAGGCTTTTAAATGAAGCTTGTCCCACACCCTGATATCCATATTGGAGCCATACCGTTCCTTCCCATTGTCCCAGAACCTTGTAGTCATCTGAGAAAAGTAACCAGGACCAATAACAGGGTTTTAAAGGCTCATTCAGCCCATTGTAATCCAAAACTGGTCTCTGTCAATAAATTCAATCAATCAGATTCATCCTCTAGCTGCACTCACATTTGGGACCATCATATGCCCCTCAAATTTCATTTGAAATCTTCACCAACTCCACACCCAACCCGAGCTTGTAGGCAGCAAACTCAAGGTCATTGCCTACTATCTCCTTAGCAATATTCCTCCTCACATTGCCACCACTTGTATGTATCCCTCTGACCTGATAACACCTCTATTTATTCACAGGAATGTGGATGTCACTAGCTGGGCCAGCATTTATTGCCCATCCCTAACGGTTAAGGGTCAAACACATTTCCCGTGGGTCTAAAGTCACCTGGAAGGGCAGCAGATTCCATAGCCTAAGGCTTCCTCCCAGACAGCCTTAACTCCAGATTTTTACTGGATTCCACTTTACCATCTGCCTTGGCGAGATTCAAACCCAGGCCCCCAGAACATTACCTGGGGGTCTCTGGATTAATACTCTAGCGATAATACCACTAGGCGATTGCCTCTCCTTTGGGATCAATAGGATGAAAAGTGTCTGGAAAATACATCTCTAAGCTGCTTGGTCAATCAGAACTAGCACAGACCAAATGGTTTCTGTAAATTGTCATGTTTGGCATGCTCAAAAAAGTGTATTGAGACAATCTGAGTAAATTGAGTTTTATTCCAGGCAAAATGCTGGACATTTTAGTGGGAATTCTGCTGGAATGTTACAGCCTTTCTTTTATCTTGCAGGGAGACCCCGGTCCCCTTGGATCTCCTGGTAAACCTGGCCCTGACGGATTACGGGGATTCGCAGGGGCCCGAGGACTGCCAGGTGCTGCGGTAAGTCTTCTCACTGTTACAAAAAGTGGGACAACGGCAGAGAAACTGCCCCCGAGAAAATGCCACAATCTTAATTCTGGGAAAGCTATTTCCTGCTAATTATCACTTATATTGGCAGCAATAAAGTGAAAGTTCATTCGGCTAATTGTTGCAGTGGAGGGGCTGTCTTATGAGCAAAGATTGAGAAGGTTGGAACTATTTCTGTGGGGGGTTTCAAAGGATGAGGGGTGAACCAATTGCAACATACACAGTTCTGCTGGGGGTTGATAGGATAGATGCTGTGAGAGAGCCCCTTCCCCTGGGAGAGTCTAGAAATAGGAGGCAAAGGTTCAAAAGAAGAAATTGGTTATCAGATGAAGATGGCAAAAGCCTCCTTTCCGCAAGTCATGAACCTTTGGAATTCTCTACCCCTAAAAACAGTGCAGTCTGGGACTCTGAATAGATTCCGTGCTCAAATAAACAGCTATTTGAATGGTAAGGGAATTGAGGATAATGGGGACCACAGAAGAAGGTGGAATTGTGATCAAGATCAGTTCAACCCTGATCTTTTTAAACGACGGAGCAACCTTGAGACTCCTGCTCCCACTTTGTACACACAGGTTATCTGAATGGTTGGCATGACTCCTTACTACGCAGTTACCAGGCTAAGCTGTCCCACTGTCTTACCACCCAGTTACCAGGCTAAGCTGTCCCACTGTCTTACTACCCAGTTACCAGGCTAAGCTGGCCTACTGTCTTACCACCCAGTTACGAGGCTAAGCTGGCCTACTGTCTTACCACCCAGTTACGAGGCTAAGCTGGCCTACTGTCTTACCACCCAGTTACCAGGCTAAGCTGGCCTACTGTCTTACCACCCAGTTACCAGGCTAAGCTGGCCTACTGTCTTACCACCCAGTTACCAGGCTAAGCTGGCCTACTGTCTTACCACCCAGTACCAGGATAAGCTGGCCTACTGTCTTACCACCCAGTTACGAGGCTAAGCTGGCCTACTGTCTTACCACCCAGTTACCAGGATAAGCTGGCCTACAGTCTTACCACCCAGTTACCAGGATAAGCTGGCCTACTGTCTTACCACCCAGTTACCAGGCTAAGCTGGCAAGCATCCAGGACACCGGTTCCAAAGTTGAGTTATGCTCTCCAAATTGTTGCTTTCGTTTGGGGTGCAGATCCCATGGAGATCACATTCATGATGATTTCAGAGCTAAAGTGATCTCGTTATGAGTATGTAAGCATGGTCACCCTTGACCACTCTGATCCACGGTCTCTCTCGTCATCCCAGTGAGCTCCCATTATAATGAAATGCTTACGGTCCTCAGCACAATACAGGTTTGATAATTGTAGCATTGACACATGATCCATTGAGAGCCATTGAGTGTTTGTATATAAAGTCACATCAGAGATGGGAGATGAACTCTCACTGCACGGTGACAGTTAGCAAATGGGAAATATTGATGTGACACTTTTATTTAGTTCTGCTGTCAAATAAACCTGTTGTGTCTAAAGAATCCTACAGCACAGAGTGAGACAGTAGGCATGGGGCTTGGGGGAATCAAATACATTATGTCCCTCTCAACAACTTTCATTTTCAGTTTCCTTTTGGAGGACTTTAATTTTGCTACAGAGCCTATTTAAGGGCCTAATATTCACTAATTTAGTCTAATGTGCTCTTTAGTTTCATTTGACTTAATTGGCTACCCATTAGGGTATGGGGGAGAAAGCGGGAATGGGGACTGAGTTGGACAATCAGCCACAATCATATTGAGTGGCAGAGCAGGCTCGAAGGGCTGAATGGCCTACTCCTGCTTGTACTTTCTATGGAAGAGATTAACAAGAGACCACTAGTGGCTTTAGAGGGTGTTGCAGCAGAACCTTAAGATGGTTCATGAACTCAGCCAACTTCCTGTGCCCTGGAGGAGTCCGTAGCCCACGTTCACGCGGTGGCACTAGCTTTGCAGCCCATCTTTCATTCTTTGACGGCAGTGTTCCTCATGTTTTGTTTGCACTTCGGCCCCTGATGTTTGGATGCCTGGGTGCGAAGGGGAGAAGGGGCAAGCCCAAGGGTGTATTTGAGGGTCTTCTTCTGGCCTTGGCCACTATCATGCCCAGACAATGGGACATGCAGGGGTGCCATGAGACCTGACTGCCCGCCAGTGCTCCCTGATTGTACCCAAATCCAGGTATCCTGGGAAAGTTATGTTTGAAGCCTTCACAATCAGTGACCACCACAGAAACTGGAGAGCATTAGCTGTCTCTAAAATGATACTTTTACTTTAATTTAATAAGTTCGAAGGAATGTTATTTTTATTACAGTTCCCCCTTTAAAAGTATGTCAACTAGTTGAGTTGTTTAGCTGATTGAATCAGATGGGTATAAATAGAGAGACTATGGGCCCATTGTGGTATAGTGGTAGTGTCCCTCCCTCTGAGCCAGGAGATCCAGGTTCAAGTCCCACCTGCTCCAGAGGTGCATCATAATATCTCTGACCAGGCTGATTGGAAAGTATTGATAAGTTGGTTGTTTCGATCACAGGTGACCTTTCACAGATCACCAGGCTGTGAGGAAAAAGCTACCCCAGTCATGTCTCCATCAATTGTTACTGGCAGTGATTAGGAGGTGAAAAAGTACCATGGTTGGTTTGATGATGGGGAGGGGAATAGACTGTCCAGTTATGTGTAAGGGTACTTCTCAATATAAAAAGAGGGAAAAAAATAAGAAACGAGAGACCGGGGTCATTTGTGGTGCACTGGTAGTGTCCCAGGTTCATAACCTACCTGCCCCAGGAGGGGTCTAGTAATGTCCCTGGCCAAGTTGATTAGAAAATATCTTCAAAGCAGGATTGCTGAGAGACTGGGGTGCTGGTCATTAAAAAGCAAGGAATTACAATGCTGCATTTCATAGGTAAACTAGCAATCAAGAATTTGCGTCTCAGCTCTGGATCTAGTTCACAGGCTGACTGCACCATAACTGGTTTATTTTTCCTCTCTTACAGGGGCCTCCTGGACTGAAAGGAGCAGAAGGACCAATGGGTGCACCAGGACTGACAGTAAGTAAGATTTCTCACACATGCTCGATATATCTCGTCATCCTCTGCTCCTTCAAGACTGACTGATCCCAATCCCCTGGTGACTGGATCTCATGACCATGCTCCCAAGCCAGGAGATCCAAGGCTTGGATCATGAAGAGAAACTGGGTGTACATTCCCTGGCATGTAAAGGATGAAGGGGTTGATGTGATTGAGGATTCGATTGGGTAGGTAGGGAACAGCATTCGCTGCTGGTGGAGGAGGCCAGGGCAAGGGGCCACAATCTTAAAATTAAAACCAGGCCCTCAGGAAACAGGTTAGTATACAAAGTGGGGGACACTTTTGTTTAATGACTCATGAGATGTAGGCATCGCTTGCCAGAGCAGCATTTATTGCTCATCCCTAATTGCCCCTTGGGAAGCTGGTAGTGAACTGCCTTGAACCGCTGCCATCCATTGGGTGTAGGTTGACCCACAATGCTGTCAGGGAGGGAATTCTAGGATCTTGAACCAGTGACACTGAAGGAAGAGCGATTATATTTCCAAGTCAGGATGGTGCTGCTGCCATTTCCAATGCCTTAGTTGATGTCAAGTGGTGCGTTTGTTTTAACTCCTACTGTTACAATTGAGCTTGTTTGGGTCAGTTCAGAGGGCAGTTAAGAGTCAGCCACGTTACTGTGGGTCTGGAGTCACATGTAAGATGACAGTCCTCCCGCCTTGAAGGACTTAAGTCCACCTTTAACAACAATCAACAATGGTTTCAGGGCTCTCGTCAGGATTTTAAATTATTTTTTTAAAAAATGATTTCAAATTCCACCATCTGCTGTGGAGGGATTTGAATATGGATCCCCAGAGCATTACAGAGGTCTCTAGTATAACGGTCCAATGTCCATCATCTCCTCCCCAAATTAAAAATAACAGGAGATGCTAAAGCTGGATTAACTGTTTAAAGCTGGAGATTGGCTAATCCTGGGTCTAAAGGGTAATGAACCCATAGTGGGTGGATGGAATGGAGAATCGGATGTGATGATCTATACCTGAGCTGTCCTGAGCCTGCGACACCTCCACCTGCTCCTATTTCCTGTGTTGCTACGTCAACGCATTTCTTATCGTGCACTTAAAGGCTCCGAATTAACCAATGGCCCACAGAAATGTACATCTGAAACCTCGACTTAGTCGGTTTGAGGGAGGTGTCAGATTCTGGTGATGCCATTCACAGGAACTTGCAGCAAGATTGGATGACTGAACTCTTGTTGTCTCTCTACAGGGGTCTACAGGCGAACGTGGGCCGAATGGTCCAGCTGGTGCTATTGGCCTCCCAGGTCGACCGGGTGGTCCAGGGCCTCCAGGCCCTGTTGGAGAGAAAGGAGATCCTGTAAGTCTTCCCATTGGCTCCTAAAACCAAGCCTACTACTGTTGACAACAAGGTGCAGGGCTGGATGAACACAGCAGGCCAAGCAGCATCATAGGAGCAGAGAGGCTGACGTTTCGGGCCTAGACCCTTCATCAGAACTGTTGATCCTGATGCACATTGCTTCTCATTGGCGGTTTATGCTTCAAGCCAGAGAGACTGGGAGGGGGGGTGGTTGGGTGCGAGAGGTACATATTCCTCCTTCTCATGTTAGCAATGTTTTTACGGCATCAGTACTGCTGAACAAGGGACACGTTGTCAAGGCTTTTCACCTCCCGCTCATCAGGACACAATCACAAGAACACCAAAATAAAGGGAACACCAATTTATACCGCATGAGAAATGCGTGCTAACTGGTCGCAGCAGAAGTGGGTCATTTGGTCCATCAAATCTGCTTCACCATTCATGGCTGATCTGATAATCCTCAGCTCCACTTACCTGCCCCTCTCCCATTAATCTTGTTTCTCTTACTGATTAAAAATCTGCCTAGCTGAGCTTTGAATACAATGAATGACCCAGCCTCAACAGCCCTCTGCAGTAAAGAATTCCACAGACTGACTACCCTCATCCTCCTGATTTGGGTTTTAAATGCGTGACCCCTTATTTTGAGGTTATGCCCTCTATTCCTAGAGTCTCCAACCACCTCTCAATGGGTGTGTAAGTCCTGCTCCAGAGATTTGGGCCCTTAACTGAGGTTGGCACTTGATGTTGAGTAGGTGCAGGCTCTCCCTGGAAGGAAAAATAAAAACAAAGAACTCCGGATGCTTGAAATCAGAAACAAAATCAGAAATTGCTGGAAAAACTCAGCAGGTCTGGCAGCATCTGTGCAGAGAAAGCATCTGTGCTGCCGCATTTTTCCAGCAATTTCTGATTTTGCTTCTCTCCCCGGAAGGACATCCTAGTCGCTGAAACCCAAAGAAAAGCCAGCAATTGGAGTCCTCTATTTTAGTCAAATTTCAGCAAACTTCCACCAGCTGAGAATTAGTTTGCCTCTGGATCCCCGCAAGTGAACCAGCCTGTCTGTCCCAAAGAAGAGTTGTGCCAGATTCATAACGTTAACTCGGCTTTTTCTCTCCGTAGACAATGCCAGACCTGCTGAGTTTCTCCAGCACTCTCTGCTTTCATTTCTGGTTTCCAGCGTCCGTGGTATTATGTTTTAATTTGTATGCCCAGGGCAGAGTCCCTTTACTTAAAAATAGGTCAACTGAAATGTCAGCCTCAAGCTGTGAATGGAATATGCTGCTCCACATGAGGGGGCATCGTCTGTTTAAAAGCGACCGAAAGCTGGAGAAGACATGAGTTTGCTATGGATTGGGTCACGTTTGCCTTGCCAAGTTGATATGTTTTAGTCGTATGGCCATCCACTGATGGGCTAGATGCACAAGACAGATTAAACATATCCATCATTGACCCTGTTTCTGTTTTCATGTACAGGGTGACAAAGGTCTTCCAGGTCCTGCAGGTGACGATGGCGTCCAAGGTGCCATGGGTTTACCGGGTCCAATTGGTTCTCAGGGCCCGCCGGGAGATTATGGGGACAAGGTACACAGGATTTTCTTTTGTACGCTCACCTGTGATAGACTTGCTCACCTCAGCGTGCATAGGTCAATCGTGTTTGCAGTGTTGTTAGAGCGGTTAGCTGGGTTTTGCGCGCACAAAGGGTATGTCGCAAGTCAGGGGAGCAGAAGTAGGCCATTCAGCCCATCAGGTTTGCTCTGCCTTCGAGTGAGATCGCGGTGATCTGCTGAGCTGTGATGGTGTCCCGATGGCAGGATCACTAAAAGGACTGCCCTGAGGATGGAGTCAGTGGTTTGAGTTTCATGCTGACAGTATCCCGTTACACATTTGTATGCGGATTATTGTTCATGCTGTACTGTATCCTGACTAGCATGCTTCTCCTCACTCCTGCGCACGATGGATTTCCAATCAGGTGCCCTACAGTGGTATTGTGGCACAGTAGGTAATGCCCCTCCTCTGAGCCTTGTGCTCTGAATTTGAGTCTCTTTCCAGATATTCTTGGCCAAGGAAGGTGTGTTCATAGCATAGCCAAACAAATTGAGAGTCCACATGGAGATCCTTCTCATACTCCTGTGGTGGGTGTTGAGGGTGGGAGAGTTTCCCAGACAGCTATGCTTCACGTGGAATGGGACCCCTCAAGCTACAGCCTCTGGTGACAAGCTAACAACCTACCCCAGGAATAACAAGCTGCAGAAGCCAATGGAAGGAGAGAGAGATAGTAGGAACTGCAGATGCTGGAGAATCCGAGACAACAAGGTGCAGGGCTGGATGAACACAGCAGGCCAAGCAGCATCATAGGAGCAGAGAGGCTGACGTTTCGGGCCTCGACCCTTCATCAGAAAAGGGGGAGGGGAAGGGGGTTTTGAAATAAATAGGGAGAGAGTGGGAGGCGGATAGAAGAGGGATAGAGGAGAGGATAGGTGGAGAGGAAACAAACAGGTCGAAGAGGCGGGGATGGGGCCAGGAAAGGTGAGTGTAGGTAGGGAGTTAGGAAGGGGATAGGTCAGTCCAGGGAGGACGGACAGGTCAAGGGGGCGGGATGAGGTTGGTCGGTAGGAGATGGAGGTGCGGCTTGAGGTGGGAGGAGGGGATAGGTGGGAGGAAGAACAGGTTAGGGAGGCAGGGACGAGTTGGACTGGTTTTGGGATGCGGTGGGGGGAGGGGAGATTTTGAAACTTGTGAAATCCACATTGATACCATTGGGCTGCAGGGTTCCCAAGCGGAATATGAGTTGCTGTTCCTGCAACCTTCGGGTGGCATCGTTGTGGCACTGCAGGAGGCCCAGGATGGACATGTCGTCTGAGGAATGGGAGGGGGAGTTGAAATGGTTCGCGACTGGGAGGTGCAGTTGTTTGTTGCGAACCGAGCGTAGGTGTTCTGCAAAGCGGTCCCCGAGTCTCCGCTTGGTTTCCCCGATGTAGAGGAAGCCACACCGGGTACAGCGGATGCAGTATACCACATTGGCAGATGTGCAGGTGAACATCTGCTTGATGTGGAAAGTCTTCTTGGGGCCTGGGATGGGGGTGAGGGAGGAGGTATGGGGGCAGGTGTAGCACTTCCTGCGGTTGCAGGGAAAAGTGCCGGGTGTGGTGGAGCTGGAGGGGAGTGTGGAGCGGACAAGGGAGTCACGGAGAGAGTTGTCCCTCCGGAAAGCAGATAA